CTGCAGCCTCCAACTCCTGGGCTCAAGCAATCCTCTTGCCTCAGCCTGCTGAGTAGCTAGGACTACAGGCATGCACCACCATGCTCAGCTAATTTTATTTATTTTTTCCTGTAGAGACAGGGTATCACTGTACTACCCAGGCCACTCTTCAACTCCTGACCTAAAGCAATTCTCCCGCCTAGGCCTCCCAAAGTGCTGGGATTACAGGTGTGAGCCACCATGCCCAGCCCCAATCTTAATTGTATAGTAAGACCCCCTGCAGCATCTCTAGCTTTGCTCTATTTCTCTTCAATTCAAACTTTCAATATTCTAACAGAAGCTGTGAATGTAAGTTACTAGACAATTAGAGTGATCTAGAAATATAGTGAGCTTCATTCTCTGGAGACTTTTGGAAAAAGTAGTAAAAGAACTATTCTTCCTTCTTTCCCACAGAAGGAGTACCTACTGTGATAGCACTGGCGATGACATAGTCTAACTATTCTAACGTGTGGCAATATGTTCAGAAGCATATGGTCCTTCTGCCAAGTCATCAACCCCCTTACTGCTCACTGGCCAGGGCCACATGAAGGTTTTTTGGTTTTGTTTTTTATTTTGTATACATTTCCATTAAAAGAAAGATAGCGTGAAATAGAGTAGGGAAAAACAGGGAAGAGCATTTGAATCTTCTGATTCAGCAATAGGTTCATTTGGTTCTTCTCCAAGGCTCCAGTGAGGTCCCCTAGATATGCTCATAGTCAAGCCAAAAGGACTACTGAGATGTAATACACAGAAGGCCTTCTTTCTATCTTTCTTTTTTTATCTGACTTGCATCAAGTATGAAGGCCTTCTTTCTATTTAAATTTTTTTTCTGGATATAAAAAGAATACAAATGACAGCTAAATAAAATAGATCAAGTAAAGTGGATTCTGACAGATTCATTAGATTAGAGTCAACAGATTACGTAAGGTTAGGGTCATAGGCTGAATAACGGCCACACGAAGATATCAGATCCTAATTCCTAGAACCTATAACTGTTGATGTGATTAAGAATCTCAACACGAGGAGATTATCCTAGATTACCTGGTGGGCCCTAAATCTAATCAAAAGTGTCCTTTTAAGAGAGAGGTAGAGGGAGACTTGATACACACAGAGGAGAATGTGATATGAAAATGAAGGCAGAGACAGGAGTGATGTGGCCACAAGCCAAGGAATGCTGGCAACTATCAAAACCTGGAAGAGGCCAGGAATGAATTCTTCCCTAGGCCTCCAGAGGGAGCACTGCTCTACTGACACTTTAATTTCAACCCAGTGACAATGAGTTTGGACTTCTGGCCTCTAAAACTCTGAGTGAATATGTTGTTTTAAGCCACCAAGTTTATGGTAACTTATTACAGCACCCCCAGGAAACTAATACAATGGGCTATGTTATGTAGACTAGATTCAACAGACAAAAGAACATTTTAAAATTATAGTTGCTTCTCTTAGAACAATTCAGTTTTAGTTTCAAATTAAATGTGAGTACAGTATCTTAAAACTTTATCATATTATTCCTACCCATTAAGTATAAGTTCTCGGGAGTGGTCACAGGAATATTAACAAGTTTAATATCATCTTCATCAGCTTTGTCCCAGGAATTAGAATTGCCACAAGCACAGCTATGACAAGAATTGACACTCTGGACCTAAAATTAAGATAGAGAGAAGTTACTTCAAAATCTCTCTTATGATAGAATATTGTGTTTCTGTCGTTGTTCTTTTTTTTTTTTTTTTTGTAAGAGTCAGGGTTCTGCTCTGTTGCCCAGGCTGTAGCACAGTGGTGCCATCAAGCCTTGCTGCACTCTCAAACACCTGGGCACAAGCAATCCTCCCACCTCAGCTTCCAAGTAGTTAGGACTACAAGTGCACCACCACATCTAGCTAATTTTTGTATTTTTTGTAGTGACGGGGTCCTGAACTGCTCTTGAACTCCTGGCCTCAAGCAATCCTCCCACCTTGGCCTCCCAAAGTGCTGGGATTATAGGGATGAGCCACTGTGCCTGGCCGGTATGTTGTGACCTTATATATTTACAAATTACTTATATAACTCCTATTACTGGTAAAACAATCCATGAAATTTCCACCTGAAGAAATAATTCTGATTGTATTCAATCAAATTTAGGAGTCATATGACCCTAAATATTCTGAGACTGTTTACTCAAAAATATACAAGTAGAATATCTTGAACATAAATCACCATTTTCATCAAAAATCAGTTAGTTATCTTTATATCATTTACTGTTTTAAGTATTATAAATTTTATCTATAACTACTTTGATGTAAGGTAGATAGTTTACTTGTTTTTTTTGTTTTTCTTTTTTTTCTTTTTTTAGAGACACAGTCTCACTCTGTTGCCCAGGTTAGAATGCAGTGGCACAATCACAGCTCACTGTAAACCTTGAACTCCTGGGATCAAGTGATCATTTCTCCTGGCTCTCCCTCCCGAGTAGCTTGGACTACAGATGAGTGCCACCACACCCAACTTTTATTTTTCTTTTTAAATTTTTTACGACGCTGACTCTGCGAAATGGTAACTGAAAGTGAAAAGTCTCTGTCGTCTTTGTACATGCCCTCCCTTAGCAAGGTTCACTGAGTCAATTTTTTCAGTTACCTCTATGCAGATGATTCTCAAATCCCTAACTCCAGTTCTGTCCTCTGAGAAATCTAGGTCTACGTTTCCATTTGCCTATCAGCTCTCTTGCTGGCATCTCAAACTGACCACAGTTATGCACCTCATAACGATATTTCAGTCAACAATGGACAGTATATATGATAGTGGACCCATAAGATTATAATACCGTATTTTTACCGTAGCTTTTCTATGTTTAGATATACAAATACCATTGTGTTACAACTGCCTACAGTATGCAGTATAATAACATGCTGTACAGGCTTGTAGCCTAGGAGCAATAGGTTACACCACATGGCCTAGGTGTATACTAGGCTACACCATTTAGGTTTGTGTAAGTATATTCTCTGATGTTCACACAATGAGGCAATCACCTAACAACGCATTTCTCAGAACTATAGCCTGTTGTTAAGCGATGCATGACTGTATATCAAAACAGGACCTTACATATCCTGCTCTTCCCCATCTGGGGGTGCTCTGCTCAGGGATGGGCCAGCAGGGCTATACCCAACCTCCCTGGGAAGCAGAGATTCAAGAAACCTCTGGGGTCCTGTTTTCTTTTTGTATGATTCCAGGGGTGCACAAGGCCCATGGGGGTACCTGAACAGAAGGGCATGAGAGGGAGGGCTGCACCCCCACAGTCTTGCTCTGCTGGTGTAGCAGGCAGCTGCCCACCCCCACCACACCCTGCACCGCAGGCTCCTGAGTCAGCAGATTAAGCATTTTATAAATTGTATTTTAAATACATGTTTTAAACTTGTCAAAAAACCCAAAGACAGGCCGGGCGCGGTGGCTCACGCCTATAATCCTAGCTCTCTGGGAGGCCGAGGCGGGCGGATTGTTTGAGCTCAGGGGTTCGAAACCAGCCTGAGCAAGAGCGAGACCCCGTCTC